ATTTGTTTTTATTAACTTTATGAGGATTATTTTTTCTTACCACATGATATGACTTAATAGGGTAGAGTTTTATTTAATGAAAGTGGATGACTGTAGTTTCCAACACGAACTAGCTGCATTCATTTTCTATTAAGTGAACTGTGATGTTTTTCTTTGTATACCAGGCTCAGCAAAATAGTTATTTAATCTACTGAGTAAAAAGTAATTGGCAATCTGATTGCATTGCTGTGTATTAAGTGATACTGTAAAATAGCTTCAAAAATAGTTATGGATTGTATTATTAATATGATCAGAAATTTCATTACTTTGAGATTTTAATTCTGTTAATGATGATCTTTCATTTTTTCCAGAGAATTGCAATTAGGATTTTTTTCATTATTAAGAGTAAATTAATTTTTGCCACTTTATTGTAATCTTTAAAGATTGTCGATGTAAAATGCAATGAACTGTGTCAAAGGCAATCATCCACTGTATCACATGATTTCTTTTTGGTCTGTGGATATAGTTGTGTTGAAAAGGTGATATATATCGTAGATACAAAGTAAAAAATCTCGATGTCCAATATCCTGAATGATCTAATATCCATACCTCCAGACCACCAGCAATTTGTTTTCCTAAGAAATGTTTTGTGAAAAGCGAAAAAGAATTAGATATAAAGTAATACTTCCTTTAGTATATGCTTAATGCTTCATTGTATGTGCAGTAGACTTTTTTAATAATAAAGCATGTGGAGGATCATGACTCTTAATTTCATTTTGATATTAAATTAATGTCCTCTATATGAAGAAAGACAATTTGTCAGCATAAATCTGTGTAATCAATCTGCATGAAATCTGTATGGCCATAACTACCTTTCTGCTCAGCGTATATCTACGAAAGCAGTGAAATGTAATTAAAAGAAGATATAATTATAATTTTAAACATAATTTACCTTCACGTGGTGGAAAGTTCAATAAAAGTGATGGACTGCAATCAGAAGAATGCAGAATTATGAGTCTAATCTTCAGCTGGTGACAAGGTTGATGAAAGCAATGGATTGCAGTTAAAAGAATGCAGATTTGTGAGCCAAAATTAGAGTCCAAGCATTCCAGATGTTTCATCACTTCCTGGATACACAGTATAGAATTATAAGTCTAAACACACTTGATTTTCAGCAACAGCATCAAAAATAAAGAGGCTCCTATTTTAGAACTGTAATTTGCAGAAGAAAGATGTTGGGAAATGGAATTATTTAAATAGAATAAGTTAGCAACCAAATTTTAGATTCTGTGATTAGGAAACATGAAGCATGAAATAATGTTCTACAGGTGTCAGGAAACATGGTTATACATGTGATATATTTGAAATAATGAGCTTTGCTGTGTTTAATTATACCATATTTATGAAAACTATAAATTCTTAATGCCTGAAATCCTAATGCTGGAAATTTCTAATGGCATTTAAATAGCAACAAGAAAGTTATCTTTGCGAACTGTGTAAATTACTTAACTATGAATCTCAGTGATATTTCATGGTTCTGAAATGCTTTTTATTGCTGTGTCTTGCCAAATCCCAGAGTCTTTCAATGCTTTGAGCAGGCACACCAGTATCAGGATTTACAAAATTATATTAGCAGTAACCCTTTTAGTGCTGAGTGAAAGTATAGTATCTATGCCAAGAATACTGGGTCAATTTGGCAAATTTACTAAGGTTTGGGTAAAAGCTCATAAAAACCAAACTAAAAATGAAATTTACAAAATTCAAAAAGCAGCATATTACGAAATAAAGTAACATGAATTGCATCTCAGTATTTGTTAAAAATCATGTGAATAATGTCAATATAAAAGATTATGAAAAACTTCTACAAACAATATTTGCACATAAGAATAATCATCATTTGATCACAACTTTATGTAGATCGTGTGATGTGAAGTATAAATATGACATTTTCAATCATTTCTAACAAAATAACCAATATCAGACCTTAAAGCTAAAGGATAACTCCATGATGCATGGCAAGCGTCATACAGATTTGAGACGAAACGAGTGATTCATGTAGCTAGTATAATGTTTCTGAAAAATATTTATTATAAATATTTATATTTACTATTTTATATATTTATTATATAGTATTACTCACAAAAATAATTTATTTAGCATTCAATCTTACTGATGCACACACTGTGTAACTCTTTATTGCAATGATTACAAATTGTACATGATCTTTGCACAGGTCCTTTCTAATAAAAAAAATGCAAACTCCCCCACCTTTTTTTTGCAGCAGGCAGCATAAAATGTAACAGTTGTTAAGTTCTGTGGTGAGTGTATAGAACATTCTATAAAGTTAAACCATCAAACAATTTTTTTAATTCTTTTGCAATGAAATTAGACTATTTGTAATGTTTCATAAATTTATTTTGAGATACTCTCACCATGCAAATAGTGAGGTGCCACTGGATATGCAACAATATATCATTACTTACACTTTCACAACTGTTGTGAACAACAATATATCTTCATCTGGCACTAAAAGGGTTAAATTGTTCAAATCTTGCAGCTTATAATTCATTAATTTTGTAGGATATCCAAGAATTCAAAACAATTGTAAATTAAAAGCAAAGCAAGTTGAATACTAAATACTGCATTGGCTGACTGATAATTAACCAGGGCTCTGAAAACCAGAGCAAAGATCTCATCAGCCTGTTGTGATGCCATTCATATCTATTATTGGCTTTGGCAACAGCTTTTTGTGTGTTGAAATATTTGTCAAGAAAGTGTGTATCATATAGTCCATATAATGCGGCTGTATAATTTCAAGCTACATTTAAATTTTTTTAAAACTTTAAGGTATTTTTATGTATCGCGTGCATCCTTTTCTTTGCGAAGAAATCTGAAAAATACGTAGGAGGTGCCCTTATTTTTTGATATCATTCATTCAAAGATTTTTCTTTAGTTTTTGAATAATAGCCTTCTGAACTGGCAAGCAATGAGGGGAGCAATATGTGTGTGGGGAAAATGCTTGAGGGCACAAAAAATTCTGCAAAGGATAGGAGTTGTATTTAATGTAGGTGGTGTTATTGTAATGTGTGCACATGTAATGTAATGCACAATAATTTTATTCTAGGGTTTCAAAAAAGGGGGAGTCATAATTTGGGCTACTTCTGACCAGATTGAATTCCTGGAACTAGGAGTCAGATATTTTCTCTTTCAGTCATTAAAAGTTGTGATTTTGAAGTAAACATCAGAAGCTTTAGTAAATCGCTTTTGCTTTAATTGAAAAACAATTGATCCAGTGTTCCTTTTAGTAGTAAATGTGGCTGATGGCAAAAGAAACAAATACAGTTATAGTTTCAAAGGCAAAATTATTCAGTTTGCAAATGAAATTCCAAATCGGGCTGCAGCAAGGATGTTTGGAGTTGGTGAAAGCTCCATACATGAGTGGAAGAAAAATTAAATCACAGTAATTAATATGCCAAAAAATAAAAATCTTTGAGCAAAAGACTAATAAAATGGCCTATTCTAGAGGAAAGTGTAGTGAATTGAGTCATAAAAAATCCCAGAATTGATTAAATGTAAAAAGAAACAGCACTTGTTTCTTTGCCGTAAAATGGGGGAAAAAATTTGCAAATGGAAGTGAAAATTTTAAAGCGACTTTGAGTTGTAGTTGAATTATGGAATGGAATGATATAGTTCTACGAAAAAAAAACAAAGTTTTGCAAAGGCTTCCAAAAGATTTGGAGAACAAATTGAGGAGTATGTTATTGACCTATGGAGGGGATATTTACTGTCCTATATTGAAAATATGGATGAAATTCCAGTAATGTTTGATATAATAGGAAATAAATTTATGTGAATGGAACATAAATTGTACACATAAAAATGACAAGTCACCATATGTCACCTCAGTGTAGTGCTTCCCTGCTTAGCTGACAGTACAAAATTAAAACCCATGGTTATTTTTAAAAGAAAGAGCATGTTGAAATGTAATTTTCCTTCATGTTCTCAAGAAAGGATGGAGGGATGAAAACGTTGTAAAATTGTGGATGAGAAATGTTTGGCAAAAGCGGGCTGTTGCTATAAAGAATCCAGAAAGTCTTTAAATTTGGAGCATGTTCAGATCCCATCTTATGGATAATATGAATACATTGTTGAAAAAGTATAATACAAGCATGACGATTATTCGAGATTAATTTCAAGCTACATTAAATGCTATTGGTTCAGTTTTCATATGTGTGTCAGTAAACTATTTAAAGAAAATAAAAAATTATAGTGTAATACGTGAGTGCTAGAATGTGGAAAAACATTTACAAAAAGATCTGAAATGCATCATGCCAGTCTAGAGATAGTGTGTGAGTGGGTAATAAAAGCATGGAATGAAATTCAACTCGGCATAATTCAAAGGTCATTTTAAAAATGTGGTATGTCTAATAATCAAGATCAAATGGAAGATAATTATTTATTTATGAATCATAGTGACAATGGTATTGAAGATTAAATAGAGTTCAATGATGTGCCTGAAAATATAATGGAAGACGAATATGATGAACTTCTCATGTTATCTAATTGTGAAAAATTTTAAATTAACAAATTTAATCCTATCTTGTAAATAAACAGCATTTAGGAATATGTAGAAATCTAATTTTGGAATCCTTATCTTTTCCTTATTTTTAAATCTATCATTTTTATATACGGCATGTAGTGCAGACTTGTAAATTTCAATTTTATTTTTTTGTAATTAAAGTGTGCATTATATGCCTGAATCACAATTGTTATATTAATTGTAATATTTTTGTATTTTGTCATCTCTATGAATATATAATTTCTAAGCAGTGCTTTTTGAATACTTTTTTTTTTTTTTTTTGTGTGTGGTGTGTGTGGTGTGTGTGTTATAATGTGATTGAATTTGAGCAGATCTTTATTTTTGACATTAGTTCTCAAACCAGTGCCTTTAAGAGAAACAAACTGCATTCTTGTAGTGCCTGTACATCTAGTTTATATTTCTCTTAATAGGTACTGGAAAAACCACAACATTGGTTCACTTAGCTAAATTGTATCCTCAAATGAAATTCCTGAATATGTTTAACAGTCTTGTTTTTAATTTACCATTGTGTAGTATAAAAAATAAGTGTAATAATTCAAAAGTATTGACCTGTAGGTCAAAAAGATTTAATTGTTTGGAGTATGTTATTCACTTTAGGGGGGGGTATTTATGTCTATATATGAAAAAAGGGATGGAGTTTTAATTTTTATTACCATAGGTTTAGTTAAAAAAGTGGAACATAAAGGTAATTTTAAAATGACAGTCCATCGTATTTGTGTTTAGTGAAAGCTGTAAGTTAAAAATTAAAAAAGATATTTGGAATATTTTTAGAGGCATAAATGTAATCTAGCTAAAAAGGAAGGAGGATGAAAACGTGTAAAATGAGAGCTATCAGTTGGCAAAAGTATGTGCTAGTAAGAATTAATAATAACTTTAATAAATTAGATAATTCTTTATAACAACTAAGTGATGTGATGATTTTTGTATGGTGAAGTGATTGTAGTATGTAATAATAATTTATAAATTTAATAATTAACTTAGTTTTAAAAAATTTAAAGGCCCCTGTGTTGGGGGGTTTCTGCATTAATCTTATGTTATGTGTAAATCTAATAAAAGAATGATTTGTTCCTTGAATCTAGATTGTATAAAGTTTAATCCCGAAGAATATATAAAAAGTCCGAAAGTAAATAAAATGTGCAATGAATGGATGTTTGTGAAATTCTGAATTTGATTAAACTTAGTTTTAAAGGCCACTGCATACTCTAGAAAAGAATATATCGATTGTAATTCCCAAAAGCGGATGAAAAGCAATACCTTTATTGAGGATAGTAATCACCACCCAAATCTGTGATTTTCCTCCAACATTTTCTATGTTTTTCAAAGCCTTTGGCCCAGGAAACTTGGTGACCGTGAGTCCAAAAACAGATCAACCTCATTTCAGACATCATGTGCAGAATGAAAGATAGGTCCAGCAAGATGTAGCTGCAGGTGTGAAAAATGGTAGAAGTCCAAAGGAATGATGTTGGGACTATATGGTGGGTATAAAAAAAGATCTCATTTCGAGTCCATATAAAATCCAGTCACTGAATGCAGACACATGTGGTCTTGCAACTTCTTCATGGAACATTTCTTTTTTGTGCCGGAACTCAGTTCTAAATTTTTCCTTGATAGCAGCATCAACACGGATTAGCATCTCACCTTACTGTTGAGGATTTTTGTCTTTTTTTAGATACTCTTTGTGGATAATACCATGGCAATCCCACCCAATATAAAGCATGATCTTTTTGTTGGTCAAATTATGCTTTGAGACATTGCTGATGGGTTCATTGGGCACAGACAAACCCCTTTTCAGCCATTGTTTTGAAGTAAATCCATTTTTCATCACTAGTGGTGATCCATTTCAGAATTTTGTCCTTGTGTTGATATTTGAACAGATTAGTGCAGAGTGGAACTCATCTGTCCTTATCTGCTTGAGTCAGTTCATGCATCACCCACTGATTGAACTTGTGCATCAAGTTTATGTAATGCGTAGTGCAACTAGTGGACATGGCACTAACATGTCAGTCCATAGCAAGCTCTCAAATGTTTGCATACTGATCTTCTTCCACAAGTTCTTGTAGGCGGGCCTCATCAACATCATTAGCTCGGCTAGAAAGCCGTGCTTCTCGAATGTCATAGTCCTTGTTTTTGAAATTTTGGTACCAAATCTATACATTATATGTCATATAATATAATTATATGTCATATAATATAATTATATATATAAATGTCATAGTCCTTGTTTTTGAAATTTTGGTACCAAATCTATACATTAAATGTCATATAATATAACATTTGTACCTAAAGCTGTACACATGATTTGGTGGCATCCTGTAACTGACTTTTTTTCAGCAGAACTGGAAGTAAAGGATGGTTCTAAAACTTAGAACCTGTAGAGGGATATTTCCATTTCAGACACCCTGTACTTAATGATAACGATATTTTTGTGCAAATTTTTTTCTTTTAAATGTCAAACATTGTTTAACAGAATATAATTAAACATGCCAACTCAAACTGTTTGTGCAGACGATATTTGCAGTGGCAGGAAACTCTTGTTAAAACTCAATAAGTTTTTTAAACTTCAAAGATATCAAAAGGAAAAAATTATGTATGCAGAACAGCCTCAGTGACATCAAACATGTGATGCTTCCAGTTCAGGGAAACAACAGATAATTGGAAATCCTAGGTATATGTGTTTGCTTTTTAGAATATTAGTTCATAATATTCTTACAAAGACTTTGAGCAATACCTCACTGTCATGATTGAGAAACTAGTGGCTTGGCAAGATTGTTGCCGTCTGAAAAGAGGTGTATCATAAAGAAAAGTAATATATTTTTTGCATGTTTTTAAAGTGTAATTTCTCAACTTTGGAACTTATTTCAAACTGCCAGAAGTGTTTTAAGAGGGTGTGGTGAAGTTACCTATTTATAACAACAGAAACTACTGATCATTTTTTTAGATAATTTCTATCTTAAAAATTTATCGAAAATAGCACCAGATATGTTACTTGCGAAAGAATAATATGCTTCCCATCATCAGTTTCCAGGCTAAAGAACAAAACTTGTTAACATATTAACTACCTTGCAATTTTATGCGAAAATCTCGGTCAGGCCATGCACACTACTGTTCCGTGTGCCAATTGTATCTTATATATTATATATACCACGTTTGCTTATATAATGTAATATTGCCATTGAAAAAACTGCTTCTGGACAGAGCATTAGATATGCTCGCAAACTATGCTACTCAAATAAAAGAATTCGTATGGACCGATCAAAGGCATGAAAAAATGTTCTGAAGCATTCTAAATAAGCATTACTCTATTTAGATGATGTGGCCTGATCAGAATTTTTATCTGCATATGAATATGGGTGATGCAGTAATCAACATGTTAAACAAACTGGGCACAATCATTGTTATCAGTAAGGTTTGTACGCACATATGTTTGTAGTTTGTGTTCCCTTAACATTAAGAGACTATAGACTGTACAAGAATTTAGTGAATGAACATCACAGTTCGGGTAGTACAGAGTGGTTCTTCACAGATGAATTACAACTGTATTTGGAGCTAGGTGATTGTTATACCTTCTTATACAACAATCATGTAACATGAGAAATAATAGCTTGCCAATACTTCTAAAGATCACTTTCTCCAGCTTACTCCGTGAAATGCTCAATTAAAGTCCAATACCCCTTTCGGGTCCTACATTCTGATAATAAAGTTTTCCCCCTGAGAATAGTCAGTTAATAATGCATGGCTATTTCACGTGGTTGCCTTGAGGGAAGAAAATTAAGAGGACAAGTGAAAATGGAAGTACTAAGTTTAGATTATGGTTATTAGCTTCTTTCATTGTTTAACAATTCATCTGAGAAATACAATCATTTACAATTTTCCACCAAAGTGATCAGCTGGAGTACCCCTTCAACATCCTCCTTTTCCAGTAAAAAAGTGAGCCTCTACCAGGGTTGCCACGCTACAGGGTAAACCGGAAAAAGTCAGGGAATTCGGAAATTGACCAAAAAATTCAGGGAAAAGTCAGGGAATTTAAGTGTTTTAGTCAAAATCTGGAAAAGTCAGGGAATTTCATACAACGATCCCGCCAAAAAAGGCGAGTTTTGTGCCGACGTCGGAAGAGATCACTTTTTTGGTGAATTGTTATCACGTGAGTGTCATTCGGGCAGCTGGCATAGAGCCAATTTTTGCAGCTCCAATTTGATTGTCTTTTAGAAAGGCAAAGCAAGTTTCCCGCAATGTTTGGTTTCCAGTAACCTTGAGAATCGCATGTGCAGTGCATGAACTAAAGAAAGTACCTGTTCTCGTATAAAACAAAATGGGTTTAATCCTAGTATACGGTACATGAAGGTTAGAATCAAAGAATATGTATTATAAAGAAGGAAAACCTCTCTGTAACAGACGTGGCTCCGTTCCATCATAGAGGGAAACAGCTGTGCATGTGCGATATATCTGTCGCCAAAGCTCGAAACCGGTGTCGAAATTCGAAGGTGACATTATCAAGAGTTCATGAAATGAACTATCGTTTAAAATTTCTTTAAACTCTAAAAGGAAAAGAAAATATTTTTTGGCGCAAGTAAAGTTAATTCATGGATTAGTTATTTTGAGGGTGGGGAAACTACAAAAATCCGTTTTTAAAATTATTGCAAAAAATCCAAGAAAAAACGTTCTTTGATAAAACATGTCTTCTTGGATTTTTCGCAATAATTTAAAAACGCATTTTCATAGTTTTCTTTTTTGTCAAAGAACGTTTCTTCTTAACACATGTTTCTCAATTTTTTGTACACATCGCGGAGAGGGAAATTCTGCCCGTCAGGTTACGTCGCCAAATCCCTTGGCAAATTTTCTGTCCGCTTTCTAGCGGCGTAATAGCATTTACGTGTATGAAACCTTTTCTACTTTACATAGACATTCTTTGGTTAAAATAATCTCCATGTATGGTACAGCGGGATTTGGCGACATGATGATGAGCAGTAAGCGGCTCATTTTGTTCTTGGCTACAATTTTCAAAATCGTACGAAGGCCGTAATAACGTATACTAGGATTTTACCGCAAAATCTTTTTAAACCTTTTTTTTTTTTTCTTTTCTTTTTAATAAATACCTTGTCATTTTGCAGTAAAACAAAAAAATAGTAATCAGTCATCTAGGCTATCCATGTAATATAACTATATTTGCTAAAATATCGTTGATTATTCTAATTCAATTTTTAAGTAATTATTTTTATGTTATTCATATCATCTAATGTTGCTTCTTCCCTCTAAATTTATTTATCATTAGTAAATAATATTTCCAAATTTTAGAAAATTTTCTCTGGCACAATCCTGAAATTAATTCTAGCAGTATGATGACATACCATCACGAAATTTAATGCACCTATTTTTTCCTTAGGTATGCTGCGAAATAAATATAAATACCTCAAATTATTAAAAAAATATCATTAAATAGATTTCTTTCTTTCGTTTAGCTGCAGAATGTCTGCAAAAAAAGCCTTAT